AAGTGTCTTACCAGTTTGGAGGAGGCGAAGAAAATCGTGTGTCCTCTGGATTTACCGCACGTGAATTACCATGTGTGCATGAAAAATTGCATCATTTATCGGGACGAGCACGCGGAGTCTACCATATGTCCGGTGTGCGGCGTCACTCGATACAAGAAGAGGAAGAAAGCTCCTCGGAAAGTGGTGTGGTACTTTCCGATCACTCCTCGTCTGCAATGGTATTTCGCGGACCCTAAGGTAGCAAAGCTCCTGCGTTGACACGCGGATAGGGAGGAGAAGAAGCGAGAAGATGACGCAAATGATCCGGAGATAGATAAAAAAGACAAGATGCTGAGTCACCCTAAGGATGCGAGCCAGTGGCAAGCGTTGAACTTCGAATACCCAGAATTTGGGAACGATCCAAGGAACATCGTGCTAGGCGCGAGCACCGATGGAGTCAATCCGTTTGGCAGCCAGAGAAGCACACATAGCACCTGGCCTGTGTTTGTGTGGATGTACAACCTTCCCCCCTGGTTGTGCATGAAGAGGAAGTACATTCACATGAGTATGCTAATTGAAGGGCCGAAACAACCAGGGAACGACATCAATCTGTATCTAGGCTGCTGAAACAGGAGCTTGACACGCTGTGGAAAACGCCAGCCAATATGTGGGACGCCGCAGAGAAAGAATATTTCCCTATAAGAGCCGCACTGCTCACGACGGTGCACGACTATCTTGGTAACGGATATCTCGCGGGGCAGATAGTCCACGGATTTTCTGGATGCGTAAGGTGCATGGATGACACAACGTATCGCCAGCTAGATAGAGATCCCGGGTCTTCGAAAACCGTGTTCATGAGACATCGAAGGTGGCTTCGCGACGATGACCCGTGGAGGAAACGCAAGGATCTGTTCGATGGTGAAACCGAACCCCGAAAACGCCCGTGTACGAGGAGCGGCGAGGAAATAGACAAGCTGTTGAAAAATTGGAAAGACTGCCCACTGCCGGGAAAGAAGCAAAAGGCGCCAGAGCCGGGAAAGAAGCGAAAGGCGCCAGAGCCGCTGCTGAAGGTATGGAAAACGAGGCCTGTTTTCTGGGACTTGCCGTACTGGAAGATCCACCGTGTGCCTCACAGCCTTGATGTCATGCATATCACGAAGAACGTGTGCGAGAGTCTTCTTGGTACCCTGCTCAACATGCCAGAGAGGACCATTAGTATGCCAGAGCCTTGCTGTGCGCCATTAGTATGCCAGAGCACCTGGGTATACATGGCCCCTGGGAGGCATACTAATGGCGCACTTCTGTATACACTAATGGCGCATCAGAGGTGCGCCATTAGTAAAATATACTAATGGCGTGGCACTAATGGCGCACCACTAATGCGCCATTAATGGCCAAATTAGGTGCGCCATTAGTAGGCCTTTTTCTAGTAGTGTTAGTTGTTGGAAGTAATAAGATTAAGAAGATCCCAAGCTTCTTCGATAGTTTTATTATTAAAACATCCTCAGAAAGAACTATCAAGTACTCCCTCCGTCCCATTATAAGTGTCTCAACTTTGTACTAGCTCTAGTCCAAAGTTGTACTAAGCTTGAGACAGTTCTTTTGAGACGGAGGGAGTATTTGTCTATTATGAGTGGGAAGCTTTGCATAAAAGTTATTAGCTCTTTGATAAAACTATTACTAGTAACTTTTTCCCCTCATAAAAGGTTGGGCCATGCCCTCTCCCGCATAAGTCCGGAATTATATATATATATATATATATATATATATATATATATATATATATATATATATATAATTTCTATTAATACAAATTTTATGGAGCGAATAAAATCTCTTACGAATTTCACCACTTAGCCATTCCCAATTCATGGCATAAATGTTTTCAAGATAATGATTTCATCTGAGAGTTTCATCCTCTATTAAGCAAGTGAATAATATCTTCTTCAAGTCATTACGGGAGAACCCTTTAGTTTTAAAGAGGGAACATATTTCATCAAGCGAATGAATACGATCATCAGGGTGATCTTTCTCATTTCCTGGATAGCTGTTAGCTTTGACATGTTTGATATAAACAATAGGTACTCTATAAACATCTTGTTTTTCCTTTAATAGGTTCCTCACAAACCTTATTACCAATTGATAGGAAAGTTTCAAGTAGAGTATCAATAATATATGAAGCCATAGTGATAAAACTAGTAGAAAACAATAAAATAGCACACAAAGTAAAATGGTTTTCTTACCACTTTGAACTTACCAAAAGTGTTATAATCCCTGTCAACAGCCCAAGAAAAGAGTCTGACATCCCACAAGTCTAGGATGTCAATTGTAGATATTTTTTATAGGTAAATTATTGATCGCACAAGGAGCAGAAGGAATTGGTAAGTGCAAAAATAGCAATAATTCGCTGTAAGTACTAAAATGTGTAACATTGTAGTTGTTTGTGAGGGTGGAGTTGTAAGGTAATGTAAATAACAATAAAAGGTGAAAGAGTGCAGCAAGTGGCGCAATTTTAATTGTGATAAGGACAAGTCGGTTGTATTACTTATGGTGGAACATTCTCGAGGATGGCAGGAATATTGTGCAATGTAAATAACAATATTTTAATTGTGATTCTCATTGCTTAATCTGCGTTGTGTCGATAGAACCGAAGCCTATATGCTCCAAAATCTGCTAGAGTTGCCCTAGCTGCCCTCATACAGTTCTCTCTAATCATTTGGTTCTTTGTGTTTTTGCACAAACATTTTCTTGAAACGGCAAATTAAAAACCAAGTACCTTTGTCAGTCCCCTTTGCTCGTATGAGCCGAACAACATTACATTGCGACTTTGATTTGTACGGCCCTAACCACATTGAGGTACCGAAGCTGAACATTGGTGGCAAGGTTTCGTATACATAACAAAAGTATATAGTTTTTTTCTCGGAACTCATCGAAGGCGAGTTTGAAAAATAGGATGTGGAAAGCCTGCAACTTTGCATCCCCTCTCACCTCTCACAAACCAGACACATAAATGAGGCGATTGAGAGCACAAGCACCACAAGAGAACTTCAGTTTCTGCAATACAACACACATTTTTCCAATGTGTAAGAACAGAGCTGAATGCTCATGGCAAACTGATGGATACAACAAAGTGATGGATATAACAAGGTTTTGTTTGCTGTAGTAATAAATATAGTCAATGGATGAGACTGAAGAAACTGTGATCGATCAACAATCATCACATATATCATGGCTGTTAGTATGAACATGCCAGTCACTGCAAGCTAGAACGCTCTCCACAATTTCTTGAAAACTCTTTTTATCCACACAAAAAAACACTAGTCAACATGTCCTTGCTAAACAATAATTGTTTGAAAAAACACTAGTCAACACAAGTTAACAATAGGCCACTGTCTACGCATGAGAAGTGGAGTACCTCGAAAAAGATATGGAATCCAAATTGATTAGCGGCGATGTCAAATGTTAGCAGCAAACCTAACATCATGCTAGAGAAATGATGAAGGTAGACAGAGCAGAGAGCATTCTAGTATCATGGGTAAAGATGTAAATCCTGAGAGAGATGGAGGTAAGAGAGTACAATGTATGGCACACCCTTGTATTTTACGTACAAAAGAAAGAGCTGAGGTTTTCAACACAAGTTTGCTTACACTGAACGAATTTTAGTGCTCCAAGTAAGCATGATAAAGTAATAACTATCTGACAAATCCATCATCCCTGCTGCATGTAAATCCAATATTAATGCAGAATCTGGTCCCCCACAAGCTCCTGAAATTAGACAGGCGTACTGAAGATACAGTGGGATGCTACAGAGAAAATACCACCAAACAAGGGTGCTTAATGAATGTTGTTGAACCTGCAGAATATTGATCCAAGAGCATAACCGTTGACTCCGCGCCTCTGCCTGCTCTCACGTAAGGTTTCTGTTTCAGTTTCCAAAGGCTTCAGTTTCAGTGTACAATCATTTGAGTCATCAGTTACAGAACAGCATTCAGTGCGGTATGAATCTGCAGAACGCTACACAAATACACATGCCATCGAATTGTTGTAAAGCAATACTCGGGTTGGCAAAGACAACTTCTATGATGATTCAGTAAAGTTACATGAGTTTAGTTAATTACCCAAAATAACAGATTAATATGCAGTATAAAGGCAAAACTACTGACAACTCCTATGATTCAGTAATTTTGCCATTGCCTTGTTTGCTGATTTTGAACTGAACAATTTTTTTGTAAGAGATGATTGAACCTGATAGGTATCTTCACTAGGTGAACTATATTCAAAATTGCCCTTGATCTCTAAAAGAACAAATACCCATTGAAATGTTAGTGTTTATTTTATAAGAACCAGCACTCAGTATCAGTCATTGTCAGCATGAATGTCAAGCTGAACAGAGTCATACAAAGGTTCAGGAACCTGATACATCCAGGTCTTTACAACATTAGCCAGAGAAGCTAATTTCGCCGCATAGTACGCATGATACACATCTGAATTTGAAACAAACACACCCTTTTGGCAATGTAAGAAGAGAATCGAATACTCGACAAAGTGAGTTCTTATTACATTGATTGCATAATACAGTCGCTGGATGATAATACTAGAGAAAGTGCAATCCATCTACAATCATCACAGGCTGATGCTGCACCATGTCAGAAGTCGAGCAAGTCTGAAAAATCGAAGGCTTTGAGTGCCTCCTTGCGTGCTGCTTCGTTCATTGCTTCCATCTCCTGTTGATGGCGCAGGTAGTCATCATCCACCTCGACGTAGCCATTCTTGGCGTACTCGGTGCGGACCCAGGCCTGGAATTCCCTGAAATCCTCTCCAATCTCATAGAAGAAGCGCACGACGTCGTAGAAGCTCACCACGTCCTCGTCCATCTCCTCTTCCGGCGAAGGAATCAGGTCAGGGTTAAGGCGCTTCAGGGCCTTGTACTCGGGAGGGAGACGGTCGTCGTCCATCTCCTCGGCGAGGATGGAATCGACCTCCTCCTGCGGCAGCCTCGTCATCCTTCTGATGGAGCAGACCTTCAGTGGAGATTCGTCGCCTTCTGGTGCCTCCTCTGCTTTCCTTTTGGTTCCCTTCTTCTCCTTCAGATCTTGACCGCCATGCTGCTGGCACCGCTTCAGCACACACACATCGCCGGCGGTCACAGCTGCCTTGACCGCCATGCGTCTGGTGGTGCGCCGCTACTTCCTCGCCGGCCGTCGATCTCCCGCGGTTCGCCTAGACTAACCGACCTCACCGCCAAAATTGGGGAGAATTTGATCGAGGAAACCTAGCTTCCAATTTGGGGGTGCTGGAACAGATGTTGTCTGGGCATTATAAAGGCCGAAGCTTTTAATTCTGTTCTATTTCGGCTCCGGTCGATGTCGACGAGTGGGAGTCGAAATCAATCGAGCTCGGATTGGAGTGACCTGAATTGATTTGGGGACTGGGATGAATATTATGGTCGTCTGCCCGAAGTTCTACAGGGGATGATGCATATAGTGGTACCGCACAAGGAGCTGATTAGAGTGAAGGTTGGCGAGACCATCGTTCCTGCGTTCGGTCTGGCCTTCTGGTGCTTCAGGCCTAGCATAGACGTGTTCAAGCACTGCAGGCCAGTTGTTTGTGTGGATGCAACATTTCTTACCGGAAGGTACAAGGGTGCATAGCTCGTGTGCGACATCTTTGAGGTGCAATGAAAGGAGTGCCACGGAGCTGAGAAAAATAGCTCTGGTGCTACGTTTCAGAAGCCCAAATAGCCAAGGCCCACTCGGGCGATTAAACTGGTCGTCAACGGGAGTGAGATTATTTTTAAGACATGTGGGTCCCACTTGGTAGTGCATCTAGTTACGGGCCCCACTTGGCAGTGCATCAGGTGAAACGTGTCCCTCTGAACGTGTACCCCTGTCTGAATCCCACCCCCTCTTCGTTCTCGGCGGTGAGCCGGCGACGGCGGCGGAGATTTTGTTCTCGGTGATAGCAGCGCGGAGCTTTCGTTCTCGGCGACGGCGACGACTGTGGTGAGTGAATCTGGAACCTGTCTCGTTCCCTCCC